TATGGCAACATGTGAGCTAGTCTGGACCAAACAATTGCTCAAGGAGTTGAAATTTGGTGAAATCATTCGGATGGAACTTGTGTGCGATAATCAAGTTGCCCTTAATATTGCATCAAATCCGGTGTTCCATGAGAGAACTAAACACATTGAGATTGATTGTCACTTCGTCAGAGAAAAGATACTTTCAGGAGAGATTGCTACAAAGTTTGTGAGGTCGAATGATCAGCTTGCAGATATTTTCGCCAAGTCCCTCACTGGTCCTCGTATTGGTTATATATGTAACAAGTTCGGTACATATGATTTGTATGCATCGGCTTGAGGGGGAGTGTTAGTTTACAGATATGTACATAATGTAGTCTTGCCCTACATTGGAATAGGATTAATATGTCCTTGTAAAGTATAGCTATAAATAAGGACCTCTTGTATTATATTGAGTATCTAATATCAATAATATATTTTCTCCCGTGCTTTCTCACAACTTCCATGAGCATTGCGACAAAGCTTCGGCAATGTATAGGTTGGTAGACCAACCTAGTTACTAACTTAGGTAATTTGTTCAGTTTCACTCCTTTTTGCGTGGATACCGCTGACAGTCTGATACCTTTATTTCCTGGATAATATTATTTGAGGCAAATAATTTATACTGTCTCAAGACAGTTATTTTGTTGCACATTAGAATAAGAGATAATTTAGAGACCTCCCCTGAGGTTCAGCCTTATAATACTAGCCTCCCATGTGGTTTACAGTCCCCTGTTTTGACTTTGTTGTAACAATTCCATTAACCTATTTATCACTGATGCAAACTATTATATCCTGACTAATTTTTCATTTCTGGTAAAGTAAGGTCGTAAAAAATGAAAAATTAGTCAGGATATAATATTTTGCATAAAAAACTAATTTTCCATTTCTAATATAATCTTTTATTTAATTTATTTTTTTAAGAATTCAATGAAAAAGAAATGGGTTAGTCAATAAATATCTAGCTCCGCGTTTTAAATATTTTCAGAAAGTGTGAAGTGCCTTTTATGCATATAAAGAGGAAAAATCATAAGCAACTTCTTAAAATTCTCCGGCGGCCGTAACTTGAAGCCATGTCATCTCCTATCTACGGCCAATAGTGCACAAAATTTAAACTTTCACTCAAAGTTTGTAACAACAGCGGAAATGCCATTGAATAATTAGAAAGGTGCTTGTGGGATGTACTAAACAAGCAGATCACTGCCCAAAATTGCTTTGCCTGCTGCATGTACATTTGCGACAACGACTGACGTAATTGGTGGCAACCCTGAAATGTTTTCTGAGTAAGAAGACAACTTGAAATGTCCGTCACTTATTCGTAGAAGAGCCTATCTTAAGGGTGTAGTTGGATCTCTTTTGAGTTCCTGCATTGGGTTTCATGAAACTTGTATACGGGTGAAACCGAGCCCGTGAGACGCCTCGGTTTTCGATGAAGTAAACGGAGCAAGAGACGTGACTGCAAGGAACCGAAATCGAGGCAAGGAGCCCTCGAGTCGAGGTCCGGGCAAAACGCCTGCCCTCGGAAGCTTCGGGGCCACGACCCCCAGATTCGATTCGAATCCCAAAAACCTCGGAGAGCATTACCAAATAATCGAGCACGACCAACAAAGGGCCGTGATATCCGTGACCAGCCGGATGTCACGGCGTCTCGGCACGTATTGGCAGAAAATCGGTGATTAGTAAAACGGAAGATTTTTACTTTTTATGGAATTGTACTTGGGGTAAAACTCCCATAGGGTCTGATTATTCATTAGGGACATTGTAACACGCATATCAAGGCAATATACTCTTATTTTCTATTCAAAGTTCTCACTTTTGTTCATCAGTTCATCATTAACGTGAGCCCGATCCTGAGATCGGAGGAAGGCATTCCATTAAAATGACAATTTATTACGTCCTTTATCTGTTTAATCTAACGCAATTCATCATTTGTATTGAATCAATCCGCGTATCCTTAAAACCACTTATAAATTTAATTGTTATCCGTTTTTTAGGGTAAACAAAACTAGCTAAGGGAATTAGGTTTTTTATTCTTAAAGAATTTGTTACAGAAGATATTCATAAAAGTAATTATTAAAAGAGCTCAATATTAGAAAAGGGCAAATTAGTTGAATTATATTAATTATAATAGATTAAGACATTATTACTAAGAAATCAAAATACGGGAGGTATGTGAAATAATGTTATGAAGTGAAATTTGAGGAAAGGACTCTGAAATTATCCCTTAATATTATGGTTAAGTAATTGGTGTCTTCTATTATCAAACTTCAACTTTTCAAGTTGCACCAACTTGAACAAGCAAGTTGGAAATAATATATGATGAGGCTCTTTTATGGACTTGCAGGTTTCTTCTGCTGTCCCAGAAGGAAAAGGTGTGTCATCCTCTGCATCTGTGGAGGTTGCTAGCATGTCTGCCATTGCTGCTGCTCATGGTAGTTACTCTTTCCACCTGTACACTTCAATTTATATAACTATGCAAATGTTATAATGAGATATGTACTTTTTTGTCGAGATGAAACATATAAACTTGACCATACAATACTAACTTTTACTAGGTAAGCGCGCACACATGGATGGTCTCTAAGTATTCTTGACTTTTATATCTAGCTAACTGGTGTAGATCCATTTCTTGAAACCCCCATCCTACTCGCCCACTCCCCCTTGATTTAGGAGGAAACTGAAAGCCGGTTTTTTTGTGTGTGTGTGTTTGGGGGG